CACATGGTATGGAATGTCCCTTTGGCCAGTTTGGGTCAGCTGTCCTGGCTGTGCCCCCTCCCAGCCTATTGTGCACCTCCAGCCTTCTCAGTCGGTAGAGCATGGGAAGCTGAAAAGTCCTTGACTAGTGTGAGCATTGCTTAGCAACAATTAAAACATTGGTGTGTTATCAACATTATTCTCATCCTAAATCCAAAACATGGCACTGTATCCCTGCTGAAACCAGGACACCAAATAACTTGAAATCTGTATTTTACAATATTTTACAATATTTGTTTCTGTCCATTTTTACTTTGAAGTTTGGTAGGCTCTGGACTTTGCTATATACTGAAATTCCACATTAATGGCATTTTAGGTCCTCCTAAATAAGAATTTTTTTCTTTTTATTTGGAAAGCTTCCCCAGATCTATTCAACAACAATTTTAAAGGAAAAGCCTACTTGCATTACTAGTATTAAAAATGCATATGTGGGGAAGAAAAATAAAACACACTTCATAGACTTTAAAGTCATTATTATAGCTGATGTTAAAACTACCCAAGAAATACGTGGCATGTTCCAGTTTAAGGCTTATAACTTTGGACTTTAAAAAGGATACTTCTTGGAGAATCAGCCAGCTTTGAATTCAAAGGCTAAAGGCCTGAAAATCTGCATGTTTGGTGAGTTTTCCAGTAGCTGATTACCTTCGTTACTGATGCTGGGAGATGAAGAGGATGTGAGTTAATTCTTTTCAGGTTGTATTTAGTTTCATCTCTGGTTCTCCTCACATTGATTAGAGGACTGGACAGTCCGTTAGGAAGAATAGCCACACCAAAATGTGTCTACATTTTATTGTGGAATCCAGAGTGTAATGTTAAATGTTCATCTGTAACTGGATAACTAAAGGATTTCGTATCTTTTACAAATAATTTTAAGTCTGACTTGATTGTTGAAATCTGGGAAACATTGCACAGAAGGGAGGTGACTATAGTAAGAGAATTCAGACCCAGTGAGATAAATGTGATCTCACTGCACGCAGCTGTGTTGGCTTTTTCTGCCCCTTCGCTAAGCAAACAGCCTTACTGAGTTTCCTACTAGGAGTCTGATATTTTACTCCGTGGAAGGCAAGGGGTGCAAGTAGGTAGGAACTTCTCAAAACAGAGCAAGAAAGAAGGGTTTCTTCGTTAATGTATTATCTCTCAACTAACAAACACTTTAGCGAATGCTGTATGTTAACTACGTTTGCCTACTCTGGTATCTTGCATATTCAGTGAAAAGCTCCATAGAGATAAAAAAAAAATTAAAATTTTTTGCACATGTAAAACTTCTTTCTGTTACTGTTTTGTTTTGGGGCCTAAATATTATGTTTGAGTTTACAAGCCCCCAAAAGTTTGCTCTTTACTACACTTGTCATTCTTAGTTCAGCTCCAAAAGATAGATTGATAGGAAATACTTTTAAATGTTTCTGGTGATACTAGTTCAGCATCATAAAACACAGCTTTCATATTTAGAGTAAACAGTTCGCAAATAATCCTTTGGCTGAAAACTGAAAAACTCTATGGTGAATGCTGAAAATGAACAGAAAAGTAAAGTAAAAATAAATCCCCTTTTTTAACATTTCAAATCTAGTGTCTCATTAGTCCTGTCTTTGGTACTGTGAAAGGTGCTAGAACAAAAGATAGACTGTGTCAATTTAAAATACTATTCCTTATCTAAACACAACAAATAAAATACTCATTTCCACTCTCTCCTCAGGATTTCTAGTTGCCAAATCATAAAGACTTTCTTGCAGCTACAGAAAAGGAAGTTTTCAAATTACATAAATGAAAATGTTTAAGTCTTTAACTCTCCCTGTGCTTCTTACATTAAGCATTTGATGCTTCTAAATTCCTCCACTAGCTATATCACTCCTAGCACTGCTATTTTACAATGTCTTCACTTGCTCGAATCGCAGGCAGAACATGCTCTGCAGCTACTGATTACTTTGGTTTGCTGTTACTGTGGCAAAACAAAGGTGCCTGGACACTTGAGCAACTTCTTTTCTTGGGGCAAATGCCCAGTCTGTGAATGAGAAATGAAGGCGATGGCCTACCATGCTGGAAACAGCGCCTTTGTCCTAGGTCTGTTGGTTTTAAACTAACCTTGCCATAACCGAGACATACAATTACGCAAATCTCTCCTGAAGTATGA